AACGACGATGACGATGATAACAGCAGTTGTTGGTGATGATTTGTGGTTGAGTGTGGTGAAGGCAGAAGCACGTGAGAACAGCAATTCAAGACCGCCTGAGCAACGCAACACACACACACACACAATCACACACAGCAATGATTGCCAGCATATACGCACATGTCGGTTCCACCGAGGAAGAAACCGCGCGCGTCGTCATGAAGGACTTTGAGATGAATGATCGTGTTGTCCTTTCCACTGGCAGTCCAGAGACGTTTGGCGAGGAGCGGGGGGTGCGTGCGTGTGTGTGTGTGTGTGAATGTGTGTGTGTGTGTGCGTGTGTGCGTGCGTGAATGTGAGCGATTGCGGTTTGATTGTGTGCAAGGTGATGAGTGTGTATGTGTGGAATAGATGGCTGTGACAAGGCAACGGGTGCCACGAACGAGCCACAACTGACAAACATGACAAAGCGGAAATACACTGGCAGGAAGTGCCACCACAACTCACAGGATGCTGAGTGTGCGGCTGTTTGGATGTGTGGCGGAGGGACGAATCATAAACGTGCCAACACGCGATCTGGATGAATGAGTGAATGCATGGATGGATGAGTTAAACGTGAGTGGACGCACGGCAAAAAGACAAGCACAGGACACTGCAGCGATATGCACGTGACACACACACACACAGAGTACAACACAGCACAGGACATATGTAACACAGCACAGCATAGGACAGAACATGGGGTGTTGACTCACTGTGCCCTGAGGAGTCTCTCTGCCTCCATTCTGTTGGTCATCTGTGCGTGGAACCAACTGTAGTGGAGAAATGCGGCGAAAAGAAGGTGGTGGTGAGGGTGGTGGTGACGTGATACTCGAGCAGACAATGCACCAACCAAGGCAAAAGACAAGACGAACAAAACAAGATGAACAAAACAGGCAAACCAATCCAATCCAACAACACAAGTAAGTTTAAACAACACGCAAACAACAAAGCGCACAGCAAACTCACGGCTGGTCCTCGTCCTTGACAGGGGTGGTGTTCTTGTCGACAACACCGCTGCCGCTGCCGTCGCTGCTGTGGTGGATGGACGTCGGGCGGGACGTGGGGGCTGACATGATCACTTCAACAAAGTTGGACGGGACCTTCGCATGTTGTCGTGGGGAGGGGGATGGGGTGGTGGCAGCGGACGGGCGGTAGTGGTGCACGCGTACATGCAATGTGGGGATGTGTGGTACTTCATGTCAGAAAGTGGGCGGATGCGATGGAGAGAGAGAGAGAGAGAGAGAGAGAGAGAGAGACAGACCAACACACACAAACACATCCACACACGCACACACACACACGCACACACACGTGTGCACTACGTTCATCACATGCATCATACACGTCACAAATATCAACCCGAGCTCTCACTCAAACACCAAGCACCACGACCAGCACGCTCACCAGGCCCTCCTGCCCGCGCGCGTTTCTCGCGAGCCACCAGAGGGACGCATCGTCCTTGATCGTCAGCTGTTGGTGGCGAGAAAGAGAGTGTGTGTGTATATGAGCATGTATGTGTGCATAAGTGTGTGTGTGAGTGTGTATGTGAGTGTCTATGTGTGCATAAGTGTGTGAGTGTGTGTGTGTGTAAGTGTGCTCATGCGTGTGTTTGTGCGTGTGTTTGTGTTTGTGAGTATGAGGCAGAACGAACGCTCCAGGTTTGAAGTAAACAGAGAAAAGAGAGACTTGTGGGCACAAGATGCTCACCGTTTCCCCCTCGTTGAATGAGAGCTGGTCCGATTGCTGCGCGGTGAATGTGTGAAGCGCCCGCACAATCTGAAACGATGAAAGGACAGAAAACGTGTCCTCATGAGCATCAACACAAGCTGAACTATACACGAGGTCACACACACACACACAAGACACCCACACACACACGCACACATACACACACACGTACACACGTGCACACGCGCACACACACAGCTCTCAACGCACCTTGCCCGTTCCTCCTGTGGTGTCGGCGGTGGCTGGTTTCGGCAGGAGCTTCGTGTAATCATCATCAGGCTTCTCTCCGTCACCGTCGCCATCGCCATCGCCACCCGTTGACATGTCAGCAGAGGGCCTCCCACGCCGCGGCTTGATGGGCGGTGGCGGCGATGACGTTGCCTCTGCACCCCCAGACGATGCCGACGTGCTTGCTGTCGTGGCCGCCGTTGCTGTCATGGGTGTGCCGATGCTGCCAGACCCGCTGTGGTTCGCGCTCTTTGTCGCGCGCACGTCTCCCGCATCCGCCGCACCGTTTCCGTTTGCGCTCCCTGCGTGTGTGTTTGAGCGCGGGCGCGCCGCGTGTGTGTTTGCCATGCGCGTGCCGCCATTGGACGACAACGTCGATGATGGAGATGTTGACGATGTCTTTGACGGCACGGCCGGTGGTGGTGCAGCAGCGTCCTGATCGCGGGCAGCGAGCGCGCGGCTCTTCAGGTCCATCAGCGCCTTCTCAAGCGCCATGCACCGGTCAGCGCTGAACTTGGACTGTACCGGGGGAATGGGAGGGAGGGAAATGGTAAATGGGAAAGTGAAGATAGTAGGACGTGAGTGTGTGTGTGCATACGTGTGTGAATGTGTAGGTGCATACGTGCGTGAATGTGTAGGTGCATGCATGCATGCATGTATGCATGCGCATGCCCAGACGACCACGACCACCACCACAACCACCGACAGCACAACCAGCACCACCACCGACAGCAGCAGCAGCAGCAGCAGCACCCTGACCTTGAACTGGTTGGCGGTGAGTGCGAGCATGTGTGTGCCCTCGAATCCATTTGAGTAAATAATTTCCTTGAAGTCGCCGAGTCCATTCTCCCGCAAATACCGCAGCACATCCGCGTTGCCCCAGTCCGCAGGGTTGCTGGCAGTGGCAGTGGCGATGGTGTTCGCAGTATGGTGGCGGCGGCGGTGGTGGTGGTGTTTGGGCGAGGTTGTGATTGGTTGAGCGCAATGAGCACACGAGCGAGAGAGAGAGAGAGAGCGAGAAGAAATGCGTATCATAACCACCCACAACCACCACCACCACCATATGCATTCACGCATGCATTCACACATTCATGTTGCTTCATGCCCATCCGCACAGCACCACAACACCTACCCCGCAAGTTACCCCTTCCCACTTACTCTGGCAAGGGCTGCGTCTCTGGCTCCACCTTGACGAAATCAGGACGCTTGCGGACGGGTGCCGGTGGCTGCTGCTGCTGCTGCTGCTCTTGTTCGTCGGGCGATGCGGGTTGTCCAAACACAGGAACATCCCCCTCGCTCCCCGTGGAGGTGTGTAGCACGCCTTGCGGGTCTGGGTTTTCGTACAGGCCCGTGTCACTCGGCATTTCGTAGTCGTGCGAGTCATTGAATTCCTCGTAGTCGTGCGATTCACCCCCACCCGTGTTGTCAATGGTAAGCACCCCGCCGCCAGCGAGCGGCGAGCCATATGATGCGCGTGGCATGCCGTTGTTGTCGTCACGGCCACCACTGCTCTCATCCAGCGCGTCTGGCACGCCCGGCACGGACGACGTTGATGTGCCCGCTGTGGATGGCGTGACGGGGTCAAGAAGGGCGGAGGCGGACGCGGTGTGTGCCGGTGTTGCTGGCGGCTTGAACGCGGGGGCCACTGCCGTGTCTGATGCTGTCGCAATGGAGTGGCGGCGGCCTGGCGTGTGTGTGCGTGTGTGTGTGTGTGTAGATTGTGTGTGGGTGTGTTGGGTGAGTGTGTGTAGATTGTGTGTGTGTGTGTGTGTGTGTGTGTGTGCAGATTGTGTGTGTGTGTGTGCAGATTGTGTGCAGATTGTGTGTGAGTGTGTGTGAAGTGTGTGTGAGTGTGTGAGTGTGTGTGAGTGTGTGTGAGTGTGTGTGGATGAATGTAGGTAGTTGGTGGTGGAGGTTGAAAAGTGAGGAGGAGGGGGAGGAAACTGATTGAGTGGTATCCAAATATGGTGGACAGAAGCAAACCATAGTTGCTTATACACACACACATGCACGCATGCACACATGCACACATGCGCGTCTGCGCACACCTGGTGGGGCCTGGTTTGTGTTGGTGCGTGTACGCATGGGAACGCCCTTTCTCTTCACGGCTGGTGTGCGGCGTGGTGATTGACATTGGTGTGAGGGTTGGAGCACGCGAAGCAAAGGCAAAACACATGAACGCATATCACACACATGTACACATCACATACTCACACGCACACGCGCACATTGCACACGCAGACACTGCTTGCACCTTTGTAGTTTCTGACGGCTGCGGAGAGCTTTCCTTTGTGCACAACGCCCATGTTGCAGGATTGTGCCAGTTCCTACAGGCGACAATCACGACACAATGGGTGAGACCACGCCGGAAGCAGCATGCTCAAGTCCACGACGACCAAACAAACGAAACCGGTTGTGCACCGCAACCACACACACACACACACACAGACACACACACACACACACACAGACACACACACACAGACACACACACACACACCTTGTGAAACTCGCACACGTCATCGGTGCTGTTTGCGCCTTCCTGCCTAAACTTCTCAACAAACTGCGGAATGTTGGACACTGCAAGCAAGCAGCCAAGGAACCACACACACACACACACACACACACACACACATGCGCATGCACAGCAGCAGTCGAGAAGCAGGTGAATGACTGAGAGGGAAAGTATCCACGGTTGCGGACAGAGAAGGAGTATGTGCCACAACACACAAAACACAAAACACACACAAACCAATCAAAACAACCCCCACATACACATACGCGCACCCACACGCAGATGCACGCGTGCATCAAACAACATCAGCAACAAGCACAAGGGCTGCCAAGTACACGCAACCACACACCATCAAAATGGACACACAAGACGCCGGACGATCAAGCCAACGTGCAGGCGTACCTTCGCAAAACTCCTCCAATGGCATGCCCACGTAGTACAGGTGCATGTTCTCTGCAAGTCATAGCCAACCACACCAGCACAAGTGTACAAGCACACAAGCACACAAAAGCACACACACACATACAGTGCGATCATCAATATCGGCGGAAGGACAGGACAGCAAAGGCAGAAGGACACCTCGAATCAACGGAACGTCCGCAAAACTGTCCGCATCATCCCCATGCGTCCTTCGGTCGACAAACGCACTCTTCTTCACGCTTCACACACACACATGCACACACAAGGGAGGAGGAGGCTCTTTGTGTGTTCAGCAACCCTTCCCCCCCCCTGGCTTCTTTCCTCCAAGCTGCGCTTTCCTTTCACATGCACACATCATTCCCCAGCGTCATCGTCCGTCCATTCATTCGTTCTCCCCTTCTTCCTTGCCCCCTCATCATCAACAACACACACAACAGCAAGCCACCCACCCAGCTGCGCGGAGCTCAGCCGCCGCTTGACCTTCTTGAACAGGCCCGACATGATGTTGTGTAGTGTGTGGCTGGACAATGGAAAATGCCGAGTCAGCGAAATCTGGCGTGGTTGGGTTTGAAAAGAGTTGCGAAGGTCGCGATTCGGGTCATTGCGGACGCTACGCGACGCACCACGTGGCTAAACAACCAAAACAACAACCAAACCAAAACAACAACCAAGATCGCTTGCTCGCAGTGGCACTGGAAGCGGACACACATGACATGATGGTGGCTGGCTGGATATGAGTGTGTTGTGTGAGCATGGATGCGTGTCTCTCACCTGCCTTGCTCTCTCTCCCTGAACTGCTTTTGTTCTGTCTTTGCTGTTTTCTGCTGCTTTCTGCTGTTTTCGCCCCAGCGAACACAGAAAGGCTCTTGCGCGCACTGGGAGAGTCCGCCAAAAAAAAAACACCTCCACTGACCCCCTTTTCAAATTTCGCGGGGCGAGATTGATAATTTTTTGGGTGCCCGCCACCGATTTGTCCCGCTGATCGTGCGCGCCAAAAAAAAATAAGCCTGCAGTTGTTATTGTTGCTGTGGCTTGGCTTGTTTCCACTGTGCGGGAAGTTGTCACATCAGCCAAAAAACCGCACACAACGCGCACTTTTCGCCCGCCTTGAGGTGTGCACCTGTGAACACATCAGTGAACGCCGCCGCACTCTCCCTCCCTTGTCTCTCCGCCACTCTCCACCCACCACCCCATACACACCCACACACATACATACTCCACCCTACCACGGTGAGTTGTTGCTCTCCTCTCACATCACCACCCCCACATGGAACAATGGGCGTGTGCGCGCGTGTGCGCTGTGTGTGTGTGTGTGTGTGTGTGTGTGTGTGCGTGTGTGTGCGTGTGTGTGCTTTTGATCACCGAGCCATCTCCCGCCACCATCACCCTCAACCATCGTGATGTCCTCGAGTCTTGGTGTACCGCCCTCACCACCAATATGCATCCGTCCTTCCTTCCTGCCTCCCTTACAGAACCGACTCCGACCACCCACCCACACACCCCTTCGTTGCCCTCCTGGCTTCAGCCGCCAAGAGAGAGACCTCGCGGTACGTTGTGCTCTCCCACTACCACTTTTGCTGCGCGTGTCCACACAATGTCTTCCATCGCATATCGATCAACCACCGTCATGTCGGCCATTGTTCTCCCCCACACCTAACACCTGTGCTTGGTTTTTCGTCCTGTGCGTCACTCCCCGCCCTCCCTTCTTGCTTCCTTCGCCTCCCCCACCCCTTTGGCACAAACCTTCATCTCTTGTCTCTTCCCGCCACAAGTTTTCATGCCCCATATCGCTTTGACATCCCTCACCTCCCATCTCTCACGTTCACGTCTTGGTCCTCTCACCCACCTCCGCAGGACAAGGAAGGCAACGCCTACACTTCCTCCAGCAAACCACTGTACCTCCATCCCCACATCAATAACATACATCACAACACCCCTTTTGCCGCCTTCGTTCACCTCCACCCCTCCGCTCCTTCAAAGCCACGACCGACCACATCCCCGTCGCCCCCCCCCCCTACACGCACACACACACACGTCCCTATCACGTGTAGCGACCCTCCACCATGGACCAAGGCGCCTCCCAAGACACCTCCGGGTACGCCGACCTTGAGCTGACAGAGCTCAAACTGCCTGTTGCCGGCGCCGTCAGCAACACAGTGGCGCGCATGCACTGTCTCACCCCGCGCTCGTCCAAGCTTGCTTCGCGATCCACCGTCGAGTCCAACTCGCGGTCGCCGTCGTCGTCGTCATCGGTGCACACGCCGGCTGCAGTCACGCTCAACGAGCACCCACATCAGGGAAACCACTGCCAATCCACACCCGTCTCGTTTGCGCCCGTGAGCTTGTCGCCCATCTCCGCCACGCGGCCCGTGCCACGCCAGGGCTTCAACGACCACAACCAGGCCACATCCACACTCGTAGACAACAACGGCGAGCCACCATGCAAGCGCCCGGCCCTGTCCACTGGCCTCTCCTACAGCACGGCGCTCCCTGGCCCAACGCACCACTCCCTGCTCGCAGCAGACAACAGCCACAACCACAACTACAACCACAACCACAACCACACCCACAACCAAACCCAAAGCCAAACTCAAAGCCACAACCACCAGGAGCATCAGCCTCTTCTTCAGCAGCAACAGCTGCAGGCTCAAAACGCGCACATGCCGCTTGGCCAAGACAGCGCACACCCTAACTACCAGCAACATCATCATCACCTTCATCAGCATCACCAGCACCAGCACCAGCAGGAGCAGGCAGTCAACTCTCACGCTCTGGCAACGACAAGCACTGGCGCAGCCGCGGCAAGCACATTCCAACCCCCCGTGGCCAATGGGGATATGGCCCAAGCACCAAGGCACCACCATGACACACACCACCAGCACCAACACCACCAACACCACCATGACACACACCATGACACACACCACCAACACCACCAACAGCAACAGCAGCAACAGCAGCACCAGCAGCACCACCATCACCAGCAGCCATTCAGCCCTGTGCACACGCACCAACTTCCCAACCCTCCTCATGCGATTGAGGGTGTGCCAACGCCACCAATTGCACTCAGCCGCCACGCCTCGGCCTCAAACATGGCATCGCAAATCAGCACGGCAGACATCGTAACTGAGCAGCCGGTGGCAGATGCTACAACTGCTGGCGTCGTGACAACTACACAACCAACACAACCAACACAACCAACACAACCACACCACCAATACCCGTTTGTTCCCTTCCACCACCAACAGCAGCAGCTGCAGTACTTTTACCAACAGCAGCAGCAGCAGCAGCAGCAGCAGCAGCAGCAGCAGCAGCAGCAGCAGGCACCATACCAGCAGCAATATGGAGAGCAGTCGCACCAAGATGCCTACCTCTCACACAACCCGCAGCAGCAGTACAGCAGCAACAATTACAACAACTACAACAACTACAACAATGGAGCAGCAACAGGTGATGCCATGACAGCAGCTGCAACAGCAGGAAGCAGAGCCCAACCACTCTCATCATCATCGTCGTCGTCGTCACTGCCATCGTCATCGAAGCAGCATGCCAAGCAACTGGCTGGCCCCACGCACCGCCGCTTGTTCGTGCGTGAACCAGAGCTGCCTGCCATTGCTGTTGACAGTAGCATTGTTGATGCGCCACAGGCAACGCCGCACAACGCCAACGCCCGTAGCACCCAGGTGTCCCCGCAGAAGAAGGAAGCGAAGCCCACCAAGACGCTCGTGGGCCTGACACAACGTTTTGCCGGCGCATTGCGTGATGCCTCTGATGAACCGCTCGATTTGAACTTGGCGGCAAATGTCATTGGCGTTCCAAAGCGCCGCATCTACGACATTACAAACGTCATGGAAGGTGTGTGTGCTCGCGTGTATGTGTGTGTGTATGTGCGTGTGTGTGTGCATGTTTGTACGTGTTTGTGTTTGTGTGCGTATATGTGTGTGTGCGTGTGTGTGTGTGCGTGTGCGTGTATGTGTGTGTGCGCGCGTGTGCATGTACATGTGCGTGTATGTGTGTGTGTGGATAACTTAACTGAATGTTTCTGAAACTCACCTGTCGCCACGCATACTCATAATTGCACACGCACCACACAAACACACGCTTTTTAGGCATTGGCATGATCAACAAGGTTGCCAAGAACAAAGTTGTGCTGACTCAGGCCTGCCGCGGCCGCAGCGCTGAAGAGCTCGAGAACATCAAGGTCGGGTGCTCGCTTTGGGGTGTGATGCAATGTGTGTGTGCGTGTGTGTGCGTGTGTGTGTCTGTGTGTGCGTGTGTGTGCGTGTGTGTGTCTGTGTGTGTGTGTGTGTGTGCGTGTGTGTGTCTGTCTCTTTCTGTGCACGCGTCATTTGCCATGTTCTTGACCATTTTCCGTTCTTGCGCCCTCGCTCACAAGCGAACTCACATCCACTCACACACACACACATCACGTCCACTCACATACATCCGCACACACATACACTCATAACACACGCTACCGTTGATTACATCAGGCGGAACTGCGTGCGCTGCAGCAGCAGGAGCAGGATGTCTTCAGCAAAGTGCACGCCATGTTTGACCAGGTGTCACAGCTCCGTGAAAAATGCGCAAAACACGCATTTGTTGATCGCGATGATTTGCGTGGTCCGCGCATTCTTCCCGGCAGTGGTTACAAAGCAGTCGTCGAGGCCGTCGCAGACACAGAAATTGGTGTGTGTCTGTGTGTGTGTGTGTGTGTCTGTGTATGTCTGTGTGTGTGTGTGTGTGTGTGTGTGTGTGTGTGTGTGTGCTACGTCTGTATATGTGCGTGAGTGCACTGCATGTTTGTGCGTGCGCACTGCATGTTTGCATATGTGTATGTTTGCGTACCTCTAGGCAGCTCACTGGAGTGTACACTCCCGTTCGCCATGCTCACCCAATGCCTCACGCTCTGCACATGTTGTTGTTCATTGCATCTGCTTCTTCGCTTCTGCAGAGGTCGAGTGCCCACGCAACATCAAGTACGTGCACGAACCACCAACCGGGCCATATACATTTATGCCCCATTCTTTGCTTACACACACGCACACGCGCACGCACACACACACACACACACACACACACACACACACACACACACACACACACACACACACACACACACACACACACACACACACACACACACACACAC